CCACCACCACTATTACTACTACTGCTACCACCACTACTACTACTACCACCACTACTACTACTCCCACCACTACTACTATTACTACCACTATTACTACTACTACTACTACTACTACTACTACCATCACTACTACTACCACCATTGCTACCACTACTACTACCACTACTGCTACCACTGCCACTACCACCACTACTACTACTACCACTGCTGCTGCTGCTGCTGCTGCTGCTGCTGCTGCTGCTGCTGCTGCTGCTGCTGCTGCTGCTGCTGCTGCTGCTGCTGCTGCTGCTGCTGCTGCCTGAACTCAAAAGAGAGGTGCTTGAGGTGCCAAAAGTACAGACAGCACCCACCCCTCCGCCCCTATTTCGCACGACTGTTTTTAACCGAGAACAAGGGCAGCACAGATGCCCTCCCAAATCCGCAGGAATTGCATTTGACCACGTCAAATGAGAAAGGCTTCTTGGCAGTCACGGTGTGGACAGCTGTAGAAGCAGTGGATTTAGTCTGTTGAAGACCTGCGAAGAGCACAAAATTCCTTATCAAAAACACTATCTCTCTGCCACCAGGAAAACAACTGCCATGCGCTCGTTACAGCGTCACCCAAGTGTTTGTCAGAGGGCGGGGTCACGCGGGTGTGTCTGCGACAAGGGAGGTGCACTGCCTACTCCTCCACCCGATGACAGGACTGAAAGTGCAGACGGTCTTGGGAGAGGAGGGCAGCAGCAAAGGCGAGCCTATAAAAGTGTTGGAGCCGGTTGAAAGCAGACCGGATCTAAAAGGCAAGAGGAGCACTAGAGCAGACTTCGCAGCGTCAACGAAATAAATATCCCAGAGGAGGTTGTTCTGACATACACCAGGGCTGGCCTGACGACAGCGACAAAGAAGTCCCGAACAAGGCATCTGAGAGGAGACGGTATCATATGGTCAATAACGCGAACAAAATGGCCTCGCAAACGATGCGTTTCTTTCTGTATGAAGATGCCAACTGTAACACAGAGGTCGCGGGGAAGTAGAAAAGCTGGTTGATTTGCAAGAGGATCGATTTGCCGTGGTAAAGCTGGAAACTTCCCCTTGGCCAAAATGATAGTCTACGACCGCTCCTCAACACACGGGAGGTGTGATTCGTCGCTCAGGCAGAAAACCGCTGCTGCCGGACACCTTGCAGACCAGACAGAGCTTTAGATCCTGAACAACATTCATTCAACAGATCACCCCGAAGTGTGCAACACATGCAGCTCGATCCCGCGACCTGTTCAAAGACTCTAACCACTTCGGGGTTGGGTATGACTGGCTGACGACGGCTAATAAGCCAGAAATGGCCATTCCAGTCTCCCTTGTCTTTGTCGGCAATACCATTCTGACTAAACGGTAGCTGAAATAGTAAATAGTAAAACCTGGAATACGTGGCGAAAAGACGAACCTGGTGCACGGGACTCCGCGGAGAGGGAGAAGTGCGCGAACATGTTGACCAGGATAAGAACCAAGGGGGGTGCAGGATCATGGACGTCAGACTTCTCAATCAAAGCCTGTAATTCCCTCTCGGACAACGGGGCCGATGGATGAAGGCGAGAACATCTATTGTGGAAGGTAGAACGCGGATAACAGTGCGCCCCAAGGACAAGTACTCCGAGCACGCATTTAAAAACTGGTTGGCTTTACAGTGATGAAGATATCATGAAACCGAGGACATGGATTAACTACCAACGACTGATGTCTGGAGGCGAGGCTGGGGTGGGGAGAGAGCAGGCTGAAGCTGTTGAATGATTAGATTTAAGGAAAAATAACAAGAAAAAACAGCCTAACACGTGCAAAGAGGTTGTTCTCCACCCCCTCCCCCGCTCCTCACCCAAAACAGTGCATTCAGACGAGCAAAGTACTTTTTCACTAAAAAAATGGGTGTTATCCACAGCAGACAATGATACCCCTCTTTTTGCCAGAAAGACACACCACTGAAGAAAAAAAAAGTGTGGATCACGAGACGGCGTGGCAAAACTGAGCCGCGTGGTGGAGCAGCATGAGGTGAGTCAAACAGGATAGGCGGGTGGAGAGACTGGAGAACTGGCCTGTGAGACACGCCCCGGGTCGCTGAAAGGCGCTTACGTAGCAGACAGAAGGCGCCAGCAACTCGGATGCAGACTA